AGATACAATATAATTACAAAATAATAACAAAAATATAATAAAAACATTTTGATGTATTAAATGTATTTTTGTAATATTTTAAAATTATTACAAAATCATTTCAAAAAATTGGCCATTTTTAGTAAAGAAGGTATAATAATATAATTATAAAGGAACTGAAGTTGATTGTATCATTTTTTTTAGTACTATATATAATTTTAGGATATTTTAAAATTAAAATTATATATTGCTTTCTTATAAAGATTATTTAAAATATATAATATTAAAGTAATTTTATACTTTATTCTTTTTTTTACATTTTTTTTTTTAAAATTAAATTTTTATAACATTATTTATTAAAATAATATTTGTATCATTTATATTAATATTTGAATAATTTAAATTATTATTTAAAATAAATTAATATTTATATAAAACAAATATATTAATATATCATTTTCTTTTAATTAGTTATATTAATATCTATTTTATTAGTAAAAAAGATTTAAATTAAATAATAAAATTAAACCAAATTATTAAAATTAAATCAAATTATATTAAACAAAAAAGTCATTAATTAAAGTAAAAAATTATATTGAAATTAATTTAAAATTAACTATAAATTAGAATTTTAATTAGCAACTATTAATTAATATAAATTAACTATAAATTAGAAAAATACTAATTTGTAATATTTAGTAATAGATATTTATATAATTATATTAATTAAAATTTTTGTTTTTATTTTTTTTTTTTTATCACAGACTCACAGTACATTTATGAATTTATTAAAAAAATGTAATACAAAATATCTAATTTTTATTTTTAACTGATTTATATTTTATTTAATAAAAGAATTAAATATTTAATAGAAAGTAGCTTAATACTTAATAAAAGAGCTTAAAATTTAATAAAAATAACTTGGTATTTAACAAAAAATATTAGTATATAACAAAAGAGGCTTAGTATTTAATAAAAAAGTCTTTATATTTAATAAAAAATATTAGTATTTAATAAAAGTAATTTAATGTTTAATAAAATGAAGCTTAAGATTTAATAAAATTGCTTTGTATTTAACAAAAAAAATTTTTGGTATTTAATTAAAAATGGCTTTTAATAAAAAAGGATTCAGTTTTCTAATTTTTTAAATTTAAATTTAAATTATTAGTATATTACAGTATAAAATATAATATCTTTAGTCCAATAATTAATACAGATTATATAATAATAATATAAATGCCAATAGGTTTATATTAAAAAATAAATCTTTTTAAAGAGTATTATATTTGAAAAAAATTTCATGTTAAAAAAAAATTATGCAGTTTATAAATAGGATTTGGGATTGGAATAAAAATGGAATTTAGGATTTAGATGGGATGGGATGGAACCCACATTCCATTTATTTGGGTAGCAAGTATAATCATACATATAGAAGCTGGATTTAAATTTATCCTTTATTTAATTACAAATATTTTATTTATAAATTTATTTTTTTACATATTTGCAAAATAAAAATTTTTTTTGTTTTTGCTTTTTCCTTATCTTTAATTTTTTTTTTATATGATTAATTAATTTGATTAATATTATGTTTTTTAGTTCTGTATTTATAAATACACTTTCCTTTATTTTAGTTATATTTTATTTATTTTTCAGTTTATTTTGTAGATTTTATTATTTTTTGTTTATAGTTTTGTTCTTTTTATTCTTTATAATTTATAAGTTTATTCAATAACTTAAAATTATTAAATTACGTAATGAGGATGACGAATAATGGGATACGATAAGTAAATTTAAATTATTTTATTTTTAACTCCTGGCCAAAATTATCTTTCGGGCGCAATTAACAATTATTTATTACAAATATTAATTTAAGGGCGTTAGCAATTCATTTCTGTTTGTTTGTAAGTGATTATATAATTATATCTTAGATATGACACTCCTTTTGAGTTATGAATAATTATGACGTAAACTTTAAATATATATTGCACGAATGAAAATATTCATTGACTAATAAAAAATATTCTGGTTATGTCTTTGTTTATTTTGTGTGCACGAGAACTAATTAGTTAAAGGATTGATTATACGATTATCATCACTAAGATCCTAAGATCCTCGTATCTTAACTTTAGCTCACATGATATTACCTAAAAAACTGTCAAGTATATACAGATAAAAAGTTGTAAGTATTTCCTTATTAAGTACATTTGGTGTAAATGGGATTAGCCCTATGATTTTATAATATGTAATGTAACGCCAATTACCGCAATTACTGCGTTTTAATTACGTAATGTATTTATGGAATATAGTTCAGAATTTATTTTATTTTTTACATAATTTGTACAAAAACTATTTTTTTTTAAAAAAAACAATAAAAAACCTTCTATAATCCTTTTGAACCTTCTAAATAACACTATATATAGTAAGCCCTCTAATAATAATTCACATTTCCTCTCCCATATACTATATCCAAAAAAAAAGAAATAAAAAATGTTATATTATCCTGAGTCACTCAAGATCCATTTTAGATTTAAAGGATAAAATGAATTTGTTGTAGTAACTACAGAAGAAACAGGTGAAAAATAATTTTGTTGATGGGGTAATTCCAAGTTAGGAGAATAATTAGAATATAAAGATGAAGGTATAGTTGGTAAAATCCACATCCGTTTATCTGTGACAGATTTATCATTTGAACATTTATCTGTTCCCGTCGTAGTCGTAGTCGTAGTCGTCGTCGTTATATTTTGATCATTTATTGGTTCACAAAAGCAAAGATTACCTTCTTTTGTTTCACAAAATATTGGATCTCTAATTGAACCAATACTTTCTAATGGAGGTAACATTGGTACACTACAAGAAATTTGAGGTGGTTGATTGATTAATCTATGTTGATCATTGAATGAAAAAGGTGGTGGTGTATTTGTTGTTGCAAACGGCGTAAAGCATCTACTATTTTGTGATTGCTGATCTCCACAACAACCAGTGTTTGAATTATCATTATTAATATTATTATCATTAAAGGAATTTGTATCATCATCATGAACAATATTATGTGTTCTAATATTTTCATCATTTACTGCGGTGGAGGACATTCGAAGATCACCGACATTATTACAAATATTTATTCTTTCTTCAATATCAACTTGTTCTTCCAATAATGCAACCCTTTCTTTTAAACTTTCAAGTTCATTTCTTGCAACTTTCAACAATCCTTCAAACTTTGAAGCTTTATTTTCCAAAGTACGAATATAAGTTTCTCTTCGTTGACGAAAGGCTCGTTGATTATTTAAATTCTGAATATGTTTTTTCTATTGAAATGAAATAATCGAATTCAAGGAGGTTGGTCACTGTATTTCATTTTCGTAACAAATAATTAATAAAAAAAACTTACAGTCGTGGGCATCGAAGATAAAGGCTTGCGTCCACGTTTATTTTGTGGTTTATTCGTCGTTTGTTGTTGAGTTGCGTTGTCATTTTGCTGTGCTGGTGATGATTTCAAAAGTAAACACACAACATTAAAATAATAATTTTTTAAACAAAATAAAAAAAAAAAGACGTTTTATTTAAAATGCAAATTAATTTTACCATTTGGAATGATAGGATTCGTTGAAGTGGACGATGATGACCAAGATGAAGTTGGTATAGAAGGAAGTCTAGGAATAGGTAACTTTGAAGGTTGTGAAGCAGAAGCGAATAATGGTTGACTAGATACATTCATTTTTGACGATAAAATGATACTAAAGATTTCATATATTTAGAAAAAAAAAAGAAGAAATAAGATTGTAAGAAAAAAAATTTTTTTGAAACAAATAATTTTTTGTACGATGAAAAGAAGTCAATCGAATTTATTTATATAAAAACAATCGAATGTATTATTGGTTTGGTTATCAAAGCACATAAAATTTGTGTAAAAAAAATTTCTTTTTTTTTATAAAAGCAAAAAAAAAAAAAAAATTTTAGGTTATCTAGGGTATTGGGAGAATAAGAATTTAAAAATGATAAGTTTTGCTGCTAAATCTATCATTTAATGTTTTTCGGTAGAANAAAAAAAAAAAAAAAAATATTGACATAAAATATATAAATGATATATATGAAAATCGGCGTTGAAGCAAAAGTCATTTTTAGGGTATTTATGCTTTTATCTTACCTATAATAATGAAAGCGAACAGTTATTAAAATTTATGAAATGAAATGCTTATCTGTTTGAAACAAAAATAGTTCTGAAGCTGTTTTATTGTGCAACTTCAAAAAGTTGATCTTTGTTTACATATGACTAACTAATCGAGCTTGACTTATTATGGACTTCAACAAACGCCATTAATGGGTGTGTCACGTAACCTTGAGCCTAACTAGCTACGACTAATGATTTTTTTTAAAAGGAAGAAGGAAAAAAAGAAAGGAAGATATACTTTTTTTAACATTATCGTCATATTTAAACTTATATTCTAACAATAAATAGGATAATACAGGTTTAAAATTAAATGAGATATTGAAAAATAAATTTTTATTTTTAATATTTTGCGTGGCTCCTGAGAAATCTGTAAGCTGAATATCATTTCCTTTTAATACCATCACGGGACGTCATGCGATTACTGATTATAGAATAATGCATTTCATTTTATGAATGTAAATTGGAAACCCATTCCACATTTTTGGGTGCCTAACTGAATAGATATCAGTAATATAAACGTGAGCTTATTTATTTATGGTACAATTTTCTTTTTAATATAAATATTTATGGTTACGCAGATGTCGGATGGCTTCACTTAATAAAAATTTCTTCCGGCCCGATATTTTTAATTCCTTACATATATGGTAGGAATTTAGGAAAAATGTTTTTTTTATAATTCAGCCAAAAATTTTAAATTCATTGCGCAATCTAGCAGTTAATAATATATACATAATTATTACAGAAAAAAATTGTACTTGATTAATCGGACGTATTTCTTTAAAACTTTAAATGATTAACCAATCAGAGCTTATCCGTATATTATTTTTAGTTAATTAAATTTACAACGTAACCCTTCACTGTGTGAACTTTTTTATCTCGATCTTCATTTCCATTTGACATTTCTTTTGTTATGATGTTGCAAGAGTAAACAAACAATACATATTGTAGAACAATCAAATCCTGAAAGGTTATATTTTTAAGCTTAATGTAAACGTTATTCCTTAACTCATATTTAAAAATTTTCCTAAATTTTAATTTTTTAGAAATAATATATCTGATATATTTTAGTTTAATGTTACACAAAATCAATCCAATCAAAATCTGATTCATTGCTGCATCAACCCCCTTATGTTTTATGCTTTATGTTACACCAAAGGGGTTTGTTTGTTATCCTCCACCTCCGTCACAGTGAATTTCTCTCATATGTTCTTTAGTATTTATTTAAATGAATTATTTCGTACAATTTCACTTTTAAACAAAAAAATTTTATGAAATATAACTAATTTTCACTTGGAATAAAATTAATTTCTGGTCACGTAATAAATTAATTTTTATTTGTTTATCAAATACAATTATTTTAAAACTTTGCTGATTTTTTTTTTATTAAAACTTGGTGGAATAAAAAGATTTTAAAGATCTTATTAAAAATTAAGTTAAAGTAATATATTGATAAAATTTCAAAGTAAATGATTAAAATTATATATGTATATTATATATACATATTTTTTTTTAAATTTGGTTAACTTTGCGCAATTATAATATCATAATATCACCAATAATAAAACTACTGGAACTATAGCTTCTTACAGTAATCTCAATCAATATATGGTAGTAAGAACTTTTGCATATCCCGCTCTTACTATGTTAAATCTAGACAATATCTAATATGCTTTCTTATCTATCCACCATATAAAGCAAAAATGTGCTATATCTTTAATCCTACAACATTCTATATAGCAGATATTAACAGGAACAAGTGCAACAGTAGCGATTATTCAGATACCCTCAATACTAGAACGTCTTATTTGGTTCCACTTAAAGCTCACTATAGGCTATGATTGCTCATCTAAGCCTAGTACAATTGTTTATCTCCTAGTGGTATAATAAAGGACACTATAACCTTTTGTTGAAATATGCAACTGCACTGTATATACTAATTCACCATGATGCAATTCAATTAATAGTGACCATTGAACAGAAAGCTACTGAAAGTACAGAATCATCCTATATTTAAGAAGCCTACCTTAGCCTTTTAGAAATCACCAATTAGTTCATTAAACTCACTAAAAGAATTAAACTTCAGAGTTCAAACCTTATATACTCTCCAACCTACAAACAATCCAGTTAATCTAGAATCTATTAAAAGATCAACTGCTATAAAGATATTGCACCTAAGTCTTTATTATCTATAAGGATTATATAGCTACTAAAGATTCAGATAGTATATTGTAAAGTAACTACTAGGATAGAAATTCACTCTACTGGTATAGAAGTAACCATTTGGACAGAACAGTAGGCTTATCATAGCTTTAATCTTAGAATGAATAATACTGTTAAAATATGCAGCCAAATTATATATATTAATACATTATGATACAGTCTATACTAATCTTATAACTTCATTTTAATATATATAGTATGTACATACAGTGTAAAGCCAAGTAACTTTAAAGGAAAACTAAAAATAAATCGAAAAAAAATTATTTAATTATTATAAAAAAATTTAAGCCTGTTATTTGATAGAATATTACTATGTAATTATCAATTGGACAATTCAATTATAAAATCTATTATTTTAAAATCATCCAATTTAATATATATTCTATATTAAGTTGGTCATAATAAATTAGACCAGAATTAAGGTTTAATGATAATTCTAACCAGATTTTTCAATAAGCGAAATCATGTAACATAATCTTTAACCTATATCCTAAAATCCTTTTTGCTTAATTTTTAAATGTACAATATAAATATACTTAAAAAATAAAAAAACAGAAGTATTTATTAGAAAAATAAACTAAAGAAGATATTTTATTAGAGGATAATGAAATAATAAAGAATAATTAGTTAACAGATAGTGAACTAAAGGATATTATAAGAAGTTTAAAAAAACACTTAATGAACTCTTCCAAATAACTTTTGAAACAATATTAAAAACTGTTAAAAACTCTAATATTTTTTAAATAACTCAGCCTATTTTTCATACTGGAATTTTTTTGAAATATGATACTAGAAAAATAATCATTAAAATCATATAATCTATATATTAAATTATATGATATACATATAGTTAAAATTTGGTCACATTATTTGGCTTTAGATTGTATATATTATATATAATAAAATTTAATACAAATTCTATAATTAATTAGAATTAAACTTGCATCCTTATCTTAACCAGATTTTATAAGAGAATTTACAGACTAACCAATAAATTAAAGGTGATCAACTTTTTATATATTAAATTATAAAGTATTTTTAGTTAAAATTATTTCTTTTTACTAAAATTTAAATTATAATTTGTAGTAATAATTTAATATAAAAAAACAAAATTTTAAGAAATTGTAGCAAATATTAATAAACTAATAAAGATTTATATTATAAATTATAATAGATTTTATTTATATACTGTAACTATTAATAAAAAATATATAGTTTTTTACTATATTTTAAATTATTATTATAAAGTTTTATATTTTTTTAAACTAAATTATATTTAAATTGTTTAATAACTTATAAGTTATTTTAAAAAAGCTTAAATTTAATAATAAGTTTAACTTAAAAAATTTAAACTAATAATTAAAAAATTTAAACTAATTTATTAAAAAATTTAAAATAATCTAATTAGTATTAATATATTAGTTATATAAATTTACTGATTTAATTGGCTAATAATAATTTTTAAAAAAATTTTTTTGTTTTTTTAATTTTTAATTTATTATTTTTTTAAATAATTTTAATGCTTATCAAAAGTAAAATTTATTAAAGATAAAGTTTACCTATATCACATAATTTATATTTATTATATTAAAATTTAAATTTTTTTTATTTATAAAAAAACTAATAATTTTTTTAATAAAAGTATTTATATAAAATATATAATTTAAATATAACAATATATTATACAATAATTTAATAGTTAGTATTATTATTATAAAAAATGTAATAAACTTTACAAATATTAAATAATTTTTATATTGCTAAATAACTTTTAATTAATAAAGAAAGTTAATTTCATTTGACCAAAGTGGTGAAATTACAAAATGAAAAAAATTTTAAAAGTTAGTATTATTATGAAAATATAAATTTCTTTATATATAATATACATATACTTATAAATATTAATATACAAGTAATTTTAACCTTATTAAACAATTATTAATTAATTTAGAAAGTTAATTTCATTTAATCAAAATAATAAATTACATTTTAAAGTTGGTAAATAGAAAAAACAAATTCAAAAATTAGTACTATTACAACAAATTGTATATTTCTCTATATATATTATATTTATACTTATAAAAATTAATATATATATAGTTTTAACAGGGTTGATCACCCTTAGCATGGCTCATTGATTAGTTTATGAGCCCCTCTCATAAAGCCTGAGTATGATAAGGTCGCAGGTTCAATTCCGCTGATTACGGAAATAAAAAGAATTTTATTGCGAACGCTACTACCAATAGTGCAAAGGTACAGGGATTAGTGTAGACTGGACAGTGGCTGGACAGTGGCTGGACTGCATCATGGTGAATTAGTATATACCAGTCAGCGGCATATTTCAACAAAGGGTCATGGTATCCTTCTAGTGCTCCCTATGAGGCCATTGGGAAGCCGATTGTCCTGTCTGGATGGTCATTGCTTGCATACTATCTGGGTGAGCTCTTGTCTTGGTGATCACTCTACAATACCATTAAGGGTATGATAAACTT